TTTCTGAGGCATCTTTGGGTTTAGGTTCTGGGAGGTAGACTGTGCTACTTTGCCATCATGTGAGGGGCCATATTATGTCCCTTTTATGACAGCCTACCACAGTGTTTGTTGAAGCTTTGTGTTTCCAGTAATCTAGAGGAGGATATTCTTTCTTGAGTGGTCATGTTAATAGTCTGGAAGTGAAGATGTTTAACCTAAAGAACTATAGGCAGAATGTAAAAGCACAGAATAGGTAAAGCAATGCATGTACATGAAAGAAAGCAAAACAGGAATTCTACTGTAACTTTGAAATTTACTTTCAACATGCTTGTATTTAATTTTACAGTCACTTGGGAATCTTCTTAAACCTGGAAACAAGACAAGAAAATTAATCTTATTACAAATTGCTCTTAAATACATTTATAGGAATATAGATGATTCATAAGGAAAATAAGAGTGCCTCCAGAACTCCCAAAGTTAAACTAGTAAAATTGATATGTAATCTATATTTACAAAAGTCACTTTGACAAGGCAGAATGTCTCCCAGGAAGAGCAGAGCTTGGCAATAGCTTATTACTTATTAGACAGTCTTCTTACACCTAAAGTTAGAACTTAAGTGTTAGCAATGGTTATTTCTGGGCATGGACTTCTTGCTCTTTTCCAAATTTTCTATGATAATCATGCTTTACTTTTGTAATTGGAAGAAAATTAATATTATTTTAATGACATTTTTATAGGGAAATCATCATACAACTATGCAAACTTATGTGAGGATATTTGCTGCAGCATTGTTTGTAATGTTGAAGAATATTCAAATTTCCATCAGTAGGCAGACAGTTCAATACATTGTGATGGAACTATACAATGAGCATCATGCAATCAATAAAAATGATGATGTAAGTCTATACTGACATAGAAAAAATTTAAAGATGTACTGTTAAGTGAAACACTAAACAGATTTAAAAAAACATGTCAAGTATGAGCCCATTTTTGCAACCAAAAAGTAAGTGCATTGGAATTTGTTGAAGAATACATGCAAGAAGTTGCTACTCCATCCTAACAACCTACATTCAGAGAAATGAGGTCACAGGGAAAACCATTGCCCTGCAAACTGGAGGGACAGGCAATACAGAGAATCACAACTTACTGGAGCCAAAACCCATGAGCAGACACTTCTGCAGGATCCAGTGCCTGGGAAAAAGCTTGAACTTTAATTGATGAATTGCTGGAAGCTCAGTACGGGCAAGTCTGAGAGTTAAAATCTCCAGGAGGACCCAGTAAAAGGGACCTCCAGAAACTACCATGTCCTCACAGTGAAGATTGGAGAAAAATTTCCTGATGTTTCTCTCAGGGGGATGGGTAAAGTAACCATTTTGAAATATACCAGAGCATCTTGTTCTTCTTAACAAGGTCTGCCCTTGAGAGAGACTATTTTACCAAAGCCTAACCAAAGCGTAGGGTTTCATCAGGACCTAACTCATTTGGAGGAAGGAAAATACCCAACTCCAGTCAACTCTAGCCTTCTTTGTGAGAGAAGAGAAATACCCAATTCCAGTTCCCTCTATCCATCCTGTGACACCAAAGGTGGGAGTGAAGGATATTAAGAAACACTGGTGAAGCTCACAGACAAGAGGCATAGGCTTTTCAAAAGACTAAGACCTAATCACAGGACTACACAATGTTTCCCATTCTTCCATACCTTATATCACACCATTAAAGTCTTATTTATTTGCCAGAGTTCCTTTCACCTAGTACATCATGTCTGGATTTTAACAAAAATTACAATGCATACTAAAAGGCAAAAAACACAGGAGAGACTGAACAAGCATCAGAATCAGATTCAGATATGGTAGGGGTATTAGAATTATTACACTTGGAATTTAAAATGAGGATAATTAGGGGCGCCTGGGTGGCGCAGTCGGTTAAGCGTCCGACTTCAGCCAGGTCACGATCTCGCGGTCCGTGAGTTCGAGCCCCGCATCAGGCTCTGGGCTGATGGCTCAGAGCCTGGAGCCTGTTTCCGATTCTGTGTCTCCCTCTCTCTCTGCCCCTCGCCCGTTCATGCTCTGTCTCTCTCTGTCCCAAAAATAAATAAATGTTGAAAAAAAAAATTAAAAAAAATAAATAAAATGAGGATAATTAATATGCTAAGTACTTTGATGGGAAAAGTATACAACATGCAGGAATAGACAGGTACTGTAAGCAGAGAGATGGCTATTCTAAGAAAAAACCAGAAAGAAATGCTGGAGATCAAAAACACTAACAGAAATGAAGAATATCTTTGATGGCCTTATTAATATACTGGATATGGCTGAGAAAAGAATCTCTGAGTTTCAGGATATGCCAATAGAAACTTCCAAAACTGGGCACCTGGGTGGCTCATTCGATTGAACATCCAACTTCAACTCAAGTCATGATCTCACGGCTAATGAGTTTGAGCCCCGCGTCAGGCTCTGTGCTGACAGCTCAGAGCCTGGAGCCTGCTTCAGATTCTGTGTCTCCCTCTCTCTCTCTTTCTCTCTCTCTCTCTCTCTCTCTCTCTCTGCCCCTCCCCCACTCACTCTGTCTCTCTCTAAAAAAAAAAATAAATAAATAAATAAAAACATTAAAAAAAAAAAAAAAAGAAACTTCCAAAACTGAAAAACAAGAAGAAAAAGACTGAAGAAAACAGAATATCCAAGTACTGGAGGACAACTGCAAAAGGTGTAACATACATATAATGGGTATACCAGAAAAAGATAGAAAAGAACAGAAGCAATATTTGAAGCAATAATGACGGAACATTTCTCCAAATGGATGTCAGACACCAAATCACAGAACTAGGAAACTCAGATAATACCAAGTAGGATAAATGCCCCAAAAGTCACACTTAGGCATATCATATTTAAGGTAAAAGTCTTGAAAGAAATCAGAAGGAAAAAACACCTTACCTACAGAGCAGCAAAGATAAAAAGTACATCCAACTTCTCAGAAACCGTGCAAGCAAGAGAAAGGAGTATAATGTTTAAAGTGTTGAGAGAGTGGTGCCTGGATGGCTCAGTCAGTTAAAAGTCTGACTTGGGCTCAGTTCATGATCTCATGGTTCATGGGTTCAAGCCCCACGTTGGGCTCTTGTGCTGACAGTTGAGAGCCTGGAGCCTGCTTTGGATTCTGTGTCTCCCTCCCTCTCTGTCCCTCCCCTGCTTGCACTTGTCTCTCTCTCTCTCAAAAATAAATAAACATTAAAAAAAATTAAGTGTTTAGAGAAAAACTACCTACTTACAACTCTGTACCCTGCAAAAATTTTTAAGTGAAGAAAAAAATACAGACTTTCTCAGACAAAAACTGAGAGAATTTTATAGCCAGTAGATCTGCCTTGCAAGAAGGGTTGAAGGACATTGTTCAGAAAAAAGGAACATGATATAAATCAGAAATTTGGATCTACATAAAGATAGGAAGAGCATTTGAGAAGCAATAAATAAAAATAAAAGGTTTTATTTTTTCTTAACTGGTCTAACAGATAATAAATTGTGCAAAATAGTAATAATAACAATGTATTCAATGATATATGCATGCTAATGTATAGATTAAATGGATGACACAAATGATACAAGGGATGGAGTGGGAGAAGAATTAGGAATATTTTGTTATTATAAGGCACTTGCAGTATAGTGTTATTTGAAAGTAGGCATGGGTTTGTTGTAAATGTATAGTGCAAAGTCTAGGGCAGCAACTTGAAAAAGTAATGAAAAAAGTTTAAATGAAGAAAGGAGATAAAATGGAATTATAAAATCTCAAAACTAAAAAGTGCAGAAAAAGTATGAAAGACTAAAGAACAAGGGCAATAAATAGAAAACAGTAACAAATATGGTAGATATTAATGCAACTATATCAATAATCATCTTAAACGTTAATGATCTAAATATGCCAATTAAAAGACAGAGATTATCAGAGTGGATCCAAACACAAGACCCAAATATATGTTGTCTATAAAAAACTGACTTTAAATATTAAGATATGTAGGTTAAAAGTAAATGGAAGGGAAAAAATGCCATGATAACACTAATCAAAAGAAAGGAGTAGTTATATTAATTTAAGACAGACTAGACTTTAAAGCAGGGAAAGCTATCAGGGACAAAGAAGGGTATTTTATAATGATAAAGGGGTCAATATGCCAAGATGACATAATAATCCCTACTGTTTTGCCTAACAACAGAGCATCAAACTACATGAGGCAAAAACTGATAGAACTGCAAGGAGAAACAGGTGAATCCTCTGTTGTAGTTGGAGACTTTAACATTCCTCTATCAGAAGTGGACAGATACAGCAGGCAGAAAATTATTAAGGTTATAGTTGAACTCAACAGCACCATTAATCAAATGGGTATAATTGATATCTCTAGACTACTTTATCCAACAATAGCAGGTTACACATTCTTTTCAAACTCACATGACTATAAGCAACAGAATCCTTGACCAAACAAAGGCTCACTTAACAAAAGCCCAGAGGCACTTATACTCAGGGTTGTTCTAGCAATTAGATGTCATCAAGGACAGGGTTTTATTTATTTTCCTTCTCTGTAATTCCTGGTGTATTGTCTTTTTATCTTGTGGTTATCACCTCAGGGTTGCCAAAGATTGCAGTAGCTCCAAGCATCACATAACACATCCAGACAGGAAGAGAAAAAAAACTTAGTTCTAGTCACCTCTGTTGGAAATAGGAAGAAAGGGAACTGAGGAGTAGGGGGAAATATTATTCAGTTTAGTTTAGTTTTTGTTGCTGTTTTTTTAAGGAGATAAAGCAAAAAGAAGCAATATGGTATTGACCCTAGATTTTGCACAAATTTTTCCTTCTTCCTGTCATCTAGGATCTCTTGAGCCCTTCCCACATATTGTATTTCGGTGCCTAGGTATAGTTCCTGGCACATAGTAAGTAGTCCATAAATATTTTTGAAAGGAAAGCAGGCAGAGCAAAGGTAGTGGCAGTTCAGCACAAAGGCAGCTAATTTCTCCAAAACATGTCTGAAATCAGGGGAGGAAAATAATGAGGCACAATATAGAATGGTAAGTGCTAGGATACTATTTAATTATAAGATGCTATGGGAGCACATAGGAGGAATTAGAGAAGACAGATCAGAAAGAATAATTGTTTAAATTGAGCTCTAAGGAGTGGTAGAAATAACTAAAACCAGAGGGAAAGAAATTCTCTTGGTTTGTACTTTAATTTTCACAAAGTAAAATAAATATAATCCTTTTGGGGGGAGGAAGACCTTGAAGAGATTCTAGTGAGGAAAAAAAAGGGAGCATGGCAAGTAGTAACTGATCATATAGTGCCCATTATTACTAACTTAAGATGTCTTAAAGTGTATATTGTCTATATTTCTATTTTTAGTGAAAAATAGCAAAATTCCAAGACTTCAGTTCTCCTATTTCCTATAATGTCTTACTTTTTTTCACTGTTTTCAGCACCTCTTACTCTGAATGTTTTCAGGCATCTAACTAAACAAGTTAGAGACTCCTAATACATATTTTGTATGTGGTAGAATATCAAAGTGAAAGTTTTGACAAAGCACAATGGAAAAGTTGTCAGATTAAATTCAGGTTGACTGGATAAAGTTGAATATTAGTTAAACTGATTCTTAATCTTCTAACTCATACTCAGAGTATGAAATGGTCAAGGAGAAGAGGATTTTGAGAGCATGCCTACCCATTCTCCACTCCAAGAACTTATCACAGCATTTTGGAGGCCCAATAGAATGGGGCCTGATTCAATACCTAAAAAAAAAGCTAAGGCAGTGATTGATTGGCTAGCTGTACTAACAGCAAAGAAGAGGCTGCTGCTGCATTGGGATAAGCCTTCAACCTCAGAGTTTACTTGGACAAAGAAAGGCCCACTGTTTCCAGTAGACTAGATGTGGGCCACATCTATGCATATGTATACCCAAGAAAGATGGCATAGGGCTGTCATGGGTTCTGTCTGCAAGGGATGCCCAAATATGCAAACACATCTCAGCAGAGAGAAGCTGGAAGTATCACAGATGTAAACAACCAGTTGGGATAAAACTATATTTGACAAGATCAAGAAATCTGCAGATAACAGATCTCCAGTGATGGTGATCTCCAAGGAACTAATCAAAGTACCTCATGAGTCAGCTTTAAAAATCTGCCACATCCAGGAAGCACTGATGTTAGAAAATGCAACAGTGATAGTAAGAACTTTCCATTTACCCCCTCTCTTCTTCCTTCCAAGAAGGAAGGACCCTCTAATTCCTAAAGGGTCCCCTAGTAGCAAGCTGGGAAAGTGAGAAACAGTAGGGCAGAAAAAAGCAGCTGTTCATATCCTCCTTCTCTGACTCTAAGTTGTAATAAATAGTCTTAGCTGGAAGAGAGGAGAAACCTCAACTTTAAAATAAAATCCAAGTTTTACTTGTACATGGTTCTGGACATTTTACTAACCAGATAAACATAGTACTGAAAAGTTACCGGAAATGTCACAGAACCATCTAGGTTTTCATCCAGAGGCAGGACAAGAACTAGCCCCACTGAATAAATACAGAGATGAAAAGTCACTTTGGAAAAAAGCTTGGCAATTTCTTATAAAAGTTAAACAAATGCTTATCTTACCCATCAACCCCACTCCTGGGTATTTATCTAAGAGAAGTAGAAACTTACATTCACCCCAAAACCTGTATATGAATTTTTATAGCAGTTTTATTTACAATGGCTCCAAACTGGAAACAACTCAAATGTCTTTCACCTGATGAATGAATTAAAAAATGTGGTACAGCCTATAATGGAATAATACTAGTCAGTAAATAAAAAAGAATGAATTAATAATACACATAAAAACATGGATGAATTTCATAGGAGTTATGCTAAGTGAAAAAAGATTCAAATGGTTACATACTGTATACTTCTGTTAATACAGCATCCTGGAAAAGGTAATGTCTAACTTTACACCAAGCACCTACTTTTGGTAATTCCCTGGTGCTATAAGGTAAGGTCAAGGTAGGGAAACAGAAGGTATATGACCAAAGGCCCAATTACCAGAGTTCTCCCAGTCCTTAACTTACTGTGATTTAATGGATCCAAGAGATTTTCTGAAGGTAGATTGAACGTCTAACTGGAGTAGCATAGGAATATCTGGGTACCCACCCAGCTGGGCCCAGAGTGAATGTATTGATGTCTTCTCTGTTACTGGGTAGCTTGAAGTTGACAGATCAGCATTCCAGATGGCTTCCATTTGGTCTTCTTGTCTAAAGAACCAGAGAGCACTAACTGGAAGCACCAAACTCTCCTGAGCTCCATATTCAATCAAAACGTATGACTCTTATTCTCCCCTTTTGTCTTCACCATCACCTTGTCCTATGATGCCCTCTCTGGCACTGAAGAACATTAGTTACGCCCACTTTGACTGAGAGAGAGATTAAAACAGCAGAATTTGCTAAAATAGCTTTTTTTTTTCTTCACCAAAAGCTGCATTTCCATTTCCATGACTTCACCTAGTGATCTATTTTAAAACTACCTTCTTAGCTTCATAGAATATGTAAACCATATCGAGACTATTTTTTTCCCACCAACATTTTCCCTCTTCCTTCCCAAAGCTCTTACCTTCTCTCTCTCTCTCTCAAAAAAAAAAAAAAAAAAATGGAAAACAGGAAAAAAGTAACCTAAGTTTCTTCATTCTGTGTTAAAATAATTTGTTTCATAATAAAGAATAAGCCTCCCTCTTTCTCTGACCCTCCCCTGTTCATGCTCTCCCTCTCTGTCTCAAAAATAAACATTAAAAAAAAATTTTTTTGGAAAAAATAAAAGGGGGGGCGCCTGGGTGGCTCAGTCGGTTAAGCAGCCGACTTCGGCTCAGGTCATGATCTCGCGGTCCGTGAGTTCGAGCCCTGCATCGGGCTCTGTGCTGACAGCTCAGAGCCTGGAGCCTGCTTCAGATTCTGTGTCTCCCTCTTTCTCTGACCCTCCCCTGTTCATGCTCGCTCTCTCTCTCTCTGTCTCAAAAATAAACATTAAAAATTTTTTTTGAAAAAAAAAAAAGAATAAGCTTCATTTTTTAGCAAGACCAGCTTTATTAACTTAATTTAATTTAAATTTAAAGTTGAACTGAATTAAGTGGGCAAAAATAAAACAATTCACATTCAAGTAGAATATCACAAATTAACAAATGTTCCACAAATCTATAAATGTATGTCCTCATATGATTAATGAAATTAACCTTTCATCTGAAAAAATCTATTGACACTAGTTATGATTCAGTTAGATATAAGTCCAAAAGTATGGGAAAAGAAATTCTAACACTTTATTCAAAAAGTTATGCTTCATCCAATGATTTAAAGTCTTTAGCATTCACAATTAATGACATGGAAAATTAAACTCCTAGTTGAATCTTTGGAGTAAGCCCATGCATGTGAGATGAGGCACCCAAACATTATAAGGAAGGGATGCCATCAGTCTGTCTCCCTCCAGGACCATTATTGTCATGTCACCTGTAGGGGCAAGAGAGCCCCAGTCTTGAAATTGTTATGAAGGGGAGTCACTAAAAAGAAAACTGGACCTACATCACCCCTGGAAAAGAGCAGGCAAGGAGCAGACCAGCATCAGTTTTTAAAAAAAGGAACTCAAAATTAGATGTTAAATATTTAAGTAGAAATATATGTAAGTAAGCCTCTTGTTAAATTATCTAAGAAAAGTAATACTACCTTAGACTCTCCACTGCACCACATCATAATTGAGGGGAAGGAGAAGCTCTTGGACAGGAAAAAAAAAAAAAAAAGCAAGAGGTCCCACATGTCGTCCAGAGAAGGTTTAATGTCAGTCTTTCCTACCACATACCGAAATTTCTTCAATGTGTCAGACTTTCTGTCTTCTTCTATTAGCAGCTCTAGGAATGATTGTTGAACAGATTTGGTAGAGGCAGGTATCTGCTTTTTGTCGATGATGCAAGGGATAGGTTGACTAAGATTCAATCTATATGTCTGTTGAAGCTAAAAATAAATAAATCAGAAAAGGAAACCATGGGGAGAAAAGATAAGAGTCTTTAGGAAGATCTGAGCTGGCCCTAGCTAAACGGTGACTCTTCTTTTCCATGGATTTACAAATCCATTTCCTCCATCCTCTTTCTCCCTTCCTCCTAAACACACCTTCACCTCCAACACAAAATTGCAGAGGAGGCACCTATGTTATATAAAAGCCTGCATAAGCTATAGTCCTACCCCTCCAATTTCCTAGCTTTGTGAGTTTCGGTTAGTTGCTAATTTTATCTAACCTCTTTCTCCCTATTTCTAAAACAAGGATAATGACACAGGGTTGCTGTGAGTGTTGTATAAGATAATATGTATTATGGCAGCACCCTATATATTGTGAAGCGCTATGCAAAGCTAATGATAACACCTACTGAATACTTACTGAATGTCACATGCTTTTTATGTATTAACTCATTTGGCATTTACAACAACCTTATGTGGTGGTGGGTACTGTTGTTACCTTTATCTTACACGTAGAGATCTGAAGCTCAGAAAATTTTAGATCTTGCCCAAAGTCTCATAGCTAATATGTGGTGAGGCTGATTTGAACCTGCACAATCTGTTAGCAGAACCAAACTCTTGAGCGTTGTAAGGCATTTATTCACTTGTACCCTCTTCTCCCTTTTGCTTTTCCCTCTCCCTTCTTCTGCCTTAATAATCACCTCATCATCTAGATCCTGCATTCCCTGATCACAGACCCTTATTCATCCTCTGAAGCGCTCTAGATGTTGTGATTCCTATTAGACACTTCTTGACACCGCCAGCTCATTTTGCTTTATTCCATCTACATTGGCCATGTTTTTTAAACCAAAAACTGTCCAAAATATCCTTTTTGTTTTTAATTTTTTTTAACTTTTTTTTTTTTTTTAAATTTTTGAGACAGGGAGAGACAGAGCATGAACAGGGGAGGGTCAGAGAGAGAGGGAGACACAGAATCTGAAGCAGGCTCCAGGCTCTGAGCTGTCAGCACAGAGCCCGACGCAGGGCTCAAACTCACATTCCGTGAGATCACGACCTAAGCCGAAGTTGGCTGCCCAACCGACTGAGCCACCCAGGCGCCCCATCCTTTTTTTTTTTTTTTTTTTTAAATCAAAGAGCTTTGATATTTAAAAAGTAGCTGTCCTGGAAAGTTATGTCTAATTTGGATCAGGCTATGATGAGAAATCTGTATCTTTTAAAGTAGCAAGTAATTTGGGGCAACGGGGTGACTCAGTTGGTTAAGTGTCCGACGTCAGCTCAGGTCATGATCTCACGGCTCATGGGTTCAAGCCCTGCATCAGGATCTGTGCTGACAGCTCGGAGCCTAGAGTCTGTTTTGGATTTTGTGTGTGTGTGTGTGTGTGTGTGTGTGTGTGTGTGTCCCTCCCCCGCTTGCATTCTGTCTCTCTCCTTCAAAAATAAATAAACATTAAAAAAAATATATGGGGCGCCTGGGTGGCTCGGTAGGTTGAGCATCTGACTTTGGCTCAGGTCATGATCTCGCAGCTGGTGAGTTCAAGACCCGTGTTGGGCTCTGTGCTAACAGCTCAGAGCCTGGAGCCTGCTTCGGATTCTGTGTCTCCCTCTCTCTCTGCTCCTCCCCTGCTCACACTGTGTCTCTCTCTCAAAAATAAATAAAGATTAAAAAAATTAAAAAAAAAAAGTAGCAAGTAATTTTATAAATGAATTTAGTGAAAGAAAAAGATATATAGATATAAAATAGTCCTAGAACTCCAAGAATGTTCCAGAACTCCATTTTGAGCATGTAGTCCCAGAACAAATAATTCTAATCTCAGCCCTGTAACTTTCTGGAATGCCACTGTCACCCCCAAAAGCATACTAATGGTTATCTCAGAGGGGCTCTGGGACATAATGAGTATTTGCCAGAGTTTAACAGGATCAGATTCTGTGTGTGGTGCTATGTAAGCAAGTTCAGTAAACTCTTATCTCCTTTATTGACTCATGCTATTAAAATTTGCTTTCTGATAGTTTTGAGGAGAAAAGTAACCATCATGAATCTGTTGGAGAGTGGTGACTTAAGAGGTTTTATATCTAGAGACTGGTAGATGTGGGTTGACTAGGAAGGAGTTGAGCATTTCTAGAAGTCTCTCCAATTCTAATCCTTTCCCATGTAGGGAGTCCAGTCAGCATCCCTGTTGTCAATTTAAGAGTTTTCACTGAGGTCATGGTGTGCTGGCTTGAATGGTAAACCCCTCAAAAGATATATTCACCCAGAATCTGTGAATGTGACCTTATTTGGAAAAAGGGTCTTTACAGATGTAATTAAGGACCTCAAGATGAGATCATCCTGGATTAATCAGGTGGGTCCTATATCCAATGATACATGGTGTTATAAGAGACAGAAAAGAAGATATAGGACACATTGGGAAGAAGGCCATGAGAAGGCAGAGGCAGAGACTGGATCTATGCAGCTACAAGCCAAGGAATGCCAAGGGTTGTTGACAGCTACCAGAGTCTAGGAGAGAGGCACGGAACAAATTTCTCCAGAAGGAACCAGCAGTGCCAACATCTTGATTCCACAAACTCTCCTCCAGAACGGAGAGAGTATATTTCTGTTGTCTTAAGGCATCAAGTTTGTGGTAACTTGTTACAGCGGCTCTAGGAAACTAATATACACATCTCCAGGTAAATGTTATTTTCAAAGCTTACCACTTTCATTTTTCTTACAACACACTGGGAGAGGGAATAGAAAACAAGATACCTGGCTAAATAGGAATATCATTTTCCTCAGGCACTGATTCCGTTTCTGCTCTAAAGACTTCTGCTTGTTGGTCCAGACCTGCATCACCTTTTTCTGGTACTCATCAATTCTGCTCAGCATTATGTAGAGGTTCCGGGTTTCATAACCTTTCCCGGTGTTTTTGATCACTTGTAATCGCCTGATTAGGTTGTTTCTTGAAAAAAAAAATTAACAAGAGTGAGATCGGTATAACTACTGATCCTAATTTAAGCAAACCTGAACCTAGTTACTTTCAGTTCTCATCAGTAGTAAGTAGAGAGGGATGTGATAGGGGTGGGAGGCTTGCTTAATGAGACCTTAATCTGGTTCGTTACATGACTAAACTTTCAAAAAAACTATATGATGGTCAAGTTTTCATTAACTCTGGAGTTTTTTAGTGTTACAGTGGTGTTGTTTATTATTATGTTAAAACTTTAGTACTGATAAGACCTACAGAAGGTACTCGATACAGTTATGAGAAAGACAGTGTCCTTGCCTTTAAAAGCACTTACAAGCCAGAATAGGAGACTAGTAAATTAACTGTGTCAAATAGAATGAAATAAGGCTAAACAGAAATATAAAAATGCTGGGGCACCTGGGTGGCTCAGTCGGTTGAGTGTCTGACTCTTGATTCCAGCTCAGGTCATGATCCCAGGGTTGTGGGTGGGATCAAGCCCTGCATCAGGCTCCACCTGTGGAGTCTGCTTAAGCTTCTCTCTCTGCCCCCTCCCCCACTTGCACGCTCTCTAAAATGTTATTTGTTTGTTTGTTTATTTATTTATTTATAAACATGCTATTTGAGCACAAAGGAAAGCGTAATTCATACTAACGAGGAATAAAGAAGACCTCATAGGAAGTTGTTACATAGGATCTTGAGGAACAGTCATAAAAATATACTCTCTCTTTACTATAATGCATACCACCAAGTTTGTGTCTCTTAAACAGATAGTGTTTTGCCATCTCTGTTCTATAGGAGAGGAAAAGCAATCTGAGCAAAGTTAAGTAATTTTTCAAAGTTACATAATTAATAGATTGGGGAAGCAAACCCAGATCTTTTCTCTTTCCACGATACCAATATTTCTCAAAATGGGGACCTTGATCACCTGAACTGATCATCTGGGCAGGGTGATGGGGTGGTGGTGGTGCTTATTGAAAATGTAGATTCCAGGGTGCTTTCCTAGACCTCTTGAATCAAAATCTTGTAGGATTCAGGATCAGTATTTTAAACAAATTCTCAGGTAAATCTTTCTGTCACTAAAGTTTAGGGAAAGAGGAGGAGGAATCAGGGGAATACTATAAACAAAGGCAAGAAAATGAGTTATATTTTGGGAGTGGTGAGTATTCTGAGACTTTTAGACCATAGATCTGTGAAAGGATACAGTGGAGGACAATACTGAAATTGCTGGCTTCTGAAAGATCATAAAAGGCACGTTAAGAAGTTTGGATTTTGGGGGGTGGGGTGAGGAGGGTAGGCAATGATAACCCATTGCAGATATTCTTCTGAATATATGTATTTTACACACACACACACACACACACACAGAATAACTCTTAGGTCTCTTGTGGGCTATAATTAGTAACTCAGAACATACTATATATATGGATTATTTAATACTTAAATGTGTTAACTCCATATTAATTGGTTAATTTTAATTATTTTCCAATAGCCTTATTTTTTTCATATCTTATGATTTTTTTTTGCTCCTATAACCATCCTTATTACACATGTTTTTAATCATTTCTCTACACGCATTACAGAATGCCTACCATATCCATTCCTATAAATAACATTGTTCCCATATATATATAATGGTTATATGTTGTATATATAAGAGATGCAAATGACATAACATTGTGTAAGCTTAAGGTGGACAATGTGTTGATTTGATACATTTATATTGCAATATGATTACCACTGTAACCTTAGCTAACACCTCTATCACATCCCATAAGTATCTTTTTGGGGGGGGGGTGGGGAGAGCAATCAAGATTTGGTTTTTGAGCAACTTTAAGTTTATAATACAATATTGTTGACTGTAATCACTATGCTATGCATTATATCTCTCCAATAAACCTTGGTTTTCACACCAGATCTTTCCTACTATTTTTCTGTCTATTCACACAGTCTTTTAGATTTTCTCCATAATTCTTCCTTATTGAAATCACATTTAAACTTCATATTAAAATCATAATTCAGTAATGAATTCTTGGAAACTTCAGAAAGTTCATAGTTTCATTTCATGCTTAGAGAAATTATTTTTCATGGATTTGTAAAAAATTTTTTCATGTTTATTTATTTTTGAGGTAAAGAGAGACAGAGTGTGAGTGGGGGAAGAGCAGAGAGGAAGGGAGACACAGAATCTGAAGCAGGCTCCAGGCTCTGAGCTGTCAGTCCAGAGACCAACATGGGGCTCAAACTCATGAACGTGACATCATGACCTGAGTCAAAGTTAGAAGCTTAACCGACTGAGCCACCCAGGCTCCCCTATTGTTCATGGCTTTTTTTTTCCAATTTTTTTTAACGTTTATTTATTTTTGAGACAGAGAGAGACCTAGCATGAACGGGGGAGGGCAGAGAGAGAGGGAGACACAGAATCCAAAGCAGGCTCCAGGCTCTGAGCCATCAGCCCAGAGCCCGACGCGGGGCTCGAACTCACAGACCACGAGATCGTGACCTGAGCTGAAGTTGGACGCTTAACCGACTGAGCCACCCAGGCGCCCCTGTTCATGGCTTTTTAAAGATAATTAATTTTATTAATGTAAACACTGAGTCTAGTAGTAACTGCTGAAGTATCTAATTATTTAAAATGCCCTCTCTAGAATCATGGCCATTCAAATCTTCTTACCTTTTGTTCCCACTCTCTTAGAAAATTCCACTTGTATTGATAAAATCTCGCCTCCCTCCTAAGGAATATTTTTTACAGTATTTGATATAGCATCACAATCCAAGGGAAGGTGCTTTACACTTACTGAGCATCCACTATGTGTAGGTCATTGTGTTAGAAATTGTATTTATGTTTTAAAATTTACATTTAAATGTTTCATTATTTAAAATACATTATTAAAAAATAAAATAAAATACATTATTTCAGTTAATCTTTGCAACCATTCTTCGAAGTAAATATTATCACATCCATTTTACAAACAGCACAGTTGAGTCTCAGACAGATTCAAAACTGGAAATTTGAGCCAAGTTGTTCCCGACTTCAAAGTCTGTGTTTAAGAGAAAGCATGATTAAAATTTGGATATAAAATCATTATAGTTTCCTACTTCAAGGCAGCATTCTATACTATACCATACTATATAGTATAGTACTTTAGACTTACAGGACTTTGGAAATGAGCTTTTTGAATTCATATGTAGTAGCTCTACTACTTACTAGTCATGTAACTTTGGCAAATAGGATGAACTTCCTGAATGATTCCTCGTCTACAAGTTAAATGCAATAATGTATCTAAAGTTTCTCTTCTTTGTAGACGCTTTATAACCTCTTGTGTATGTAACTAGCTTTAAATCATTTATTTAGTTTCTCATTGTCCATGTAATGTTTCCTCAAAGAATTCTAGATTAAACAAGTTTGATTTCCCTACAAAACTTATATTTCCTTTAGTCTATCAGTTTTCACTTTTTCAAGAGTGCAGTGATTCTCCTTTTATGACAGATTCCACCAGATTTCCTGGCATGGATGCCCTTCCTTGATGGGAGTTAGTGTTAAAATATCACCCTAGCATAGAATCCCTTCCAGACTACAGGAAATACTGTACATTTGGTTATTTGATTACATACCCTATACTCCTTCAAAACTTTTGGGTGGATGCCATCTGGCCCTAATTTATGCCTCTGCATGAAGTTTTACTTGCCTTAAATCCACCTTCCATATTAGTGGCATTTTACTTCCCTTGTTAGGAATGTTTCAATTATCCTCTATCACATACAAAATAAAATACAAGTTCTTTAGCATGCCATTTAGGATTCTTTTTGACTTAGCCTATCTTTGCAGTCTTCTCTCTTGCCATATCCTGCTTATTCTTTGTATTCTACCAGCAACAAAGTGGTTTACACACACACACACACACACACACACACACACACACACACGTACATGCACTGCTTTTACTTCCTTCCTTCCTGTGCTCTGCTAGACTCTCTGCCTCCAAAGGTCTGGATGTCTAGCAGTTTTACCTAACTCTCCTGTCTTCAGTCCTCTTCTGTATACTTTGTACATGTACCATCATTGTTCTTTCCACATATAATCACCTGTTTGTGTGGGTGTCTCTCTGAGTTGACTTTGAATGTCCTCAAGGCAGGGATATGGCTTGTCCACCTTTATATCCTGCCACCCTCAGTCCCCTAGGCCTAACACAGTCCCTAGCAAATGGTGGTTGCTATGTTCAGAAATGTTGATGAGTTAAATGATAAATCCTGACAGGTCACCATAATATTTAGTACCTTTGAGGACTTTCCTCAATATGTATGGAAATGAAATGTCTTATTATCATCATCTGGTCTAATTTTACATCCTCTCCATTCTTGCTTCTCAGATATATTACATTGATCTTGTGCTAATACAACTCTAAAACTATATTTTAGCATTTAATTATGGAATCTTCATTTACAGAGGTTCTACAAAGTGTTCTTTGCTCAAAAATAGTTTAGGGATGCCCGGGTGGCTCAGTTGGTTGAGCATCCAACATCAGCTCAGGTCATGATCTCAGTGGCATGGATTTGAGCCCCACATTGGGCTCTGTGCTGACAGATCAGAGCCTGGAGCCTGCTTTAGATTCCATGTTTCCTGCTCTCTCTGCCCCTCCCCTCTCTCAAAAAAAATAAACATAAAAATTTTTTTTAAAAAGATTATCTGGAACATATATATGATGGAATATTACTCAGCCATTAAAAATGGAATCTTGCCATTTGCAACTATGTGGATGGAGCTAAAGTATATTATGCTAAGTGAAATAAGCCAATCAGAGATAAATACCATATGATTTCATTCATATATGGAATTTAAGGATCAAAACAAATGAACACAGAGGGGGAAAAAGAGAGAAGCAAACCATAAAAAAGACTCTTAACTCTAGAGAACAAACCAAGGGTTGCTGGAGGGAAGGCAGGTGGGGGGGATGGGCTAAATGGGTGATGGGCACTAAGGAAGACACTTGTTGTAATGAGCACTCGGTGTTACATGTAAGTGATAGGTCACTAGATTCTACTCCTAAAACTAGTATTACACTACATATTAACTAACTAGAATTTAAATAAAAATAAAAACATGAAACAAACAAAAATAATGATATGAACATATAAAAATCAAAGTTTTCTATAAGGCAAAAAGCAGAATCAAAACACAAAGATTAAAAAAAGTAATAAAAATAAATTTTAAAAAAGTCCAGTAACATTCACATGTCCTGGAAGCTGAGCATAAACTTCACTCTCTGCCTGCCTAGCAGGGCCTATGTTTCTTCCTTTTACCCACACTTCTAGCTTATATATCCTTTCCTTGATATGAAGCTCTTGGCTAGAAAAGAGTTCCATCTCTAGGATCTGAGAGAAGTGTGTGTGAATTTGGATGGTAGATACAACTGCCCTGCTGTGGTCTTGACGTACAGAAATTTTCTATTTGCACGTGACAAGGTGGCACAAAATGCACTTTCATTATAGAAAACATGCAATTTTCCAAATAACTACTTGATTGGGTGGGCATAATCAACATGAGTAGTAAGTGTGGTTTCATAAAGCGGAGCAAAAAAAAAAAAAAAAGGGCATTTTAAAATAACTTTTTGAATAGTATAGCTCCCTAAGTGAGGAAAGGAGACATTTTCATGTGTCCTTGTCTAGTCATTTCAAGCACCAGTAAGTTAATAGCTCTGTATCTTTTTGGGTTTTGTACCGTGTAACGCCTTTTACACCTGTTGATTCTGTTGTTGTTTTTTGTGTATTAAATATTTTTTTTATTTTTCTGGGGAAAAAAAAAAAGGTCAAGGATTCTTCAGTCTGGAAAGAGAGCGCCAGGGGCGCCTGGGTGGCGCAGTCGGTTAAGCGTCCGACTTCAGCCAGGTCACGATCTCGCGGTCCGGGAGTTCGAGCCCCGTGTCAGGCTCTGGGCTGATGGCTCAGAGCCTGGAGCCTGTTTCCGATTCTGTGTCTCCCTCTCTCTCTGCCCCTCCCCTGTTCATGCTCTGTCTCTCTCTGTCCCAAAAATAAATAAACGTTGAAAAAAAAAATTAAAAAAAAAAAAAAAGAAAGAAAGAGAACACCAAAGACAGGTACAGAGTAAAATATTTGTCAACAAATCTGATTACTTATGCTTTGAAATGAAAAGTTCTGATTACATCTTGAATAAGTCTCTTTTATCTTGCTGTCCCAATCCTTAGTCTCAAATTAATTCAGTCCTTAAAAGTATAAATTTCATGAGAACAGGGTACTTTGTCTGCTTTATTCACTACTGTATCCTTAGCACCTAATACAATACTTGGCGCATAGTAGGCATTAATAAATGTTTGTTAAATAAATGGCATAAGTTGTTCCTGTAATTAATGATAACCCCTTCTAGTATAGGTTTTAGTGTGACCTCTTGTAATTTTAGGTGAAAGATATCCCCAAATTAATACGTTGGTAATCTCAAACATAAGTGCTAAGGATAGCAGGACAATTGTCGCTTTCCCTGACCTATTTCTGATATTTGCAATTTTTATTTATTTATTATTTTTTTTTTAATTTTTTTTTTCAACGTTTATTTATTTTTGGGACAGAGAGAGACAGAGCATGAACGGGGGAGGAGCAGAGAGAGAGGGAGACACAGAATCGGAAACAGGCTCCAGGCTCTGAGCCATCAGCCCAGAGCCCGACGCGGGGGCTCGAACTCACGGAGCGCGAGATCGTGACCTGGCTGAAGTCGGACGCTTAACCGACTGCGCCACCCAGGCGCCCCTGCAATTTTTATTTTTATTTGTTTGTTTGTTTTTGAGAGAGAGAACACACGCAAGTACAAGCACAGGAGGGGCAGAGGGAGAAGGAGAGAGAGAATCTTAAGCAGGCTCCATGCTCAGTGCAGAGCCCTACACAGGGCTTGATCTCACGACCATGAGATCATGACCTGGACCTGAGCTGAAATCAAGAGTCAGATGCTCAACTGCCTGAGCCACCAGTTGGCTGGCACCCCTATATTTGCAATCCTTTTTTTTTTTTTTTTTTGCAATTTTAGAAAATCAGGACCAGGACCTGTTTCCTCCAAGTTGCTTCAGCAGCAAGGTTACCATGGCAACACCTTGTATATAACCTGCCATCTCCCATTTTAAGAATCATACATCTTCTGGTGAACTCAAGAAGATGAAAGAAATTTAGAAAAACTAAAAGCATTTTTAAGCTTTTGAAGTTGATATTTTGGAGATCAAAATGATCCACAAAATATATCTGAACATCTCTGCTAGAGATATAAATGGATGAAATAGATCATATAACATTTTTTATTTCCAAAAAGATAGATCTCCTTTTGCTATCTTAAATAGGCCTCATTCCACAGACCTTCTGTAAGAGAATGTTTTAGGGGCACCTGGGTGGCTCAGTTGGTTAAGCATCTGACTTTGGCTCAGGTCATGATCTCATGGTTTGTGAGTTTGAGCCCCGTGTCAGGCTCAACGCTGACAGCTCAAAGCCTAGAGCCTGCTTCAGATTCTGTGTGTGTCTCTCTCTGCCCCTCCCCCACTCACACTCTGTGTCTCTCTCTCTCTCAAAAATAAGCACTAAAAAAAAGAGAGAAGGGCTCCTGGGTGGCTCAGTCGGTTAAGTGTCCGACTTCACTCAGGTCACGATCTCACAGTTTGTGAGTTTGAGCCCCTCGTCGGGCTCTGTGCTGACAGCTTGGAGCCTGAAGCCTCCTTCCGATTCTGTGTCTCCCTCTCTCTCTGCCCCTCACCTGCTCACACTCTGTCTCTCTCTGCTCTCAAACGTAAATGAACATTAAAAATTTAAAAAAGAGAGAGAATATTTTAGAACATCTAATCCGACAAACATGTATATACTTATAGAGCAATGAAGGGAGGATATTTGAAATCAGGACTAAACCAGAAAACTGAACCTTCAATATTACATCTACCTTGCACGCTGGATCAGCCTGTAAGCAATGTACTTGTGGAATAAGTATCCCAGCTGAACTGTGTCCGTATGAAGTGTCTCAATTATGACATTCCTAGCTGTTGTGTGTAGTTGTGAAGGAAGTCCAGAAGCTTTTGTGGCCTGATTTAAGAGTATCAGGTTCTTTCTCTGAGCCTCTACATCAACAAAATATCTCTGCTCTTTGAGCTCTTGGGGAGTGGAAGGGGGCACCAGCATCTTGGGTTTCTTGGTACCTGAAACTGAAGTCAGTATCCAGGACTTGTCTATAGGGGAGAACTTGGATTTCTGGTCCCATTCAGAAGATGAGATCTGTGATGTTTTGGGTAGTTTAGTTGTAAGAGAGGGTAGTGATGTTATAGGCTTCATGAGAGTCGGAATGTAAGGGGTTTGTGATACTGGTGTCCTGTAATTGGTGAGATAGGACTGAAATGTTCTAAATTGTTCCATGGCAATAGGATCATGGCATATCGGGATTTCTTCCAAAGTGTCAGACACCTCTGATATTTGGAACTTCTTAGTGGTGAAAGGGGCTTGAGTTACCTTGAAATCAGTAGCACTGGGATGAACAAATGCTGAATTAGGTTTCAGAGAAGAAATAATTGCCAATCTTTCCTTACTTTTCTTGGAGACAGAAGAGGACAAATCTTTCAGGGGCTTTCCAGGAGTTGGAGAGGTCCATAATGTTGGAAGATGCCCAGGGGTGGGAGGGATCCACAGTGGGGAAGCTTGACGCTGCCCAAGGGGAGAAGGGGCTTGTAGATAGCGAGATTGATCACAGGTAGCAGCGGGCTGGAATGCCTGGGGCTGCTCAGAGAGTATTAAGGGTCTAGGTTCCAGGAGCTCCCCATGGATGGAAGACGTTCCAGGAACCAAGGGCTTCCTAGGAGAAAGAGGAGCCAAGAGATCAGGAATCTGTGCAGAGGTGAGTGGGACTCCAGATATAGGGGGCTGCCTGGAGACCAGAGGGGCTTCTGATATCAGAGGTAGCTGAGGAGTCCTAGAGCCCCAAGAGGAAAAGAACTGCTGAAGGCCGAGAAGGGTCTCCAGTGTAAGAGGCTGCCCTGAAGTTGGCAGGGTCTCAGCTATGGGAAATTTCTCAGGAGTCAGTGGGACCTCTGGTGCTACAAACTCAACAGAGGTGGATTGACCTTTAGAAAACAGGGTCTGTTTAGAGGAAGGAAAAGTCTGTGGTGCAAGGAGTTTTCCAGGCTCAGAACGAATTCTCACTCCTAGTGATTTACCAGGGGCTTGGGAGAGAGGAGACTGTGATATCTGCAAAGGAATAGGAGAGACCTCCAATGCAGAGGATTTCTCAGCAATAGCAGCAGATGCTGGGGATTGCCTAGGAAGGACAGAAGCCTTCAATTTTTGAAGTGATCTAAGACTGGAAGGATCCAATGTGGGTAACTTCTTAGAAATGTGAGGAGCACTTGGTGTGACAGATTTATCAGTAACAGGCACAATCCCAACTTTCAGGGTATGTTCTAAAAGAGGATGGACACCAAGTGGTGAGAGCTGTTCATTAATGAGAGGTGCTCTTGATTTTAGGTCATCTACCCCAATGGGATGGGATTGCCCTGGAATGAAGGGAGCTCCCAAAGGCTGGACTTGCTCAAGGGTAAGGGGAAATCCTAAGACATGGGATTTGTCTGATTTATCTGATTCCCAGAAGTGTTCTGGAGAGAGAGAAATACCTAATGCTTGAGCCTGTTCTAAGGAGAGAGGGGCACCCAAAGCCTGGGTCTGTTCAGGGCTAAGAGTGACAGCTGGGACCCAGGCATTTTCTGGAGTGATAGGGACACCCAATTTCTGGGCCTGTGATGCAGTGAGAGGAGACTCCCATGCATGAACTTTCTCAAGGGTGTGTATGAAACCCAAGCCCTGGCATTTCTCAGGGCTGAGGGTGACCAGCAATGCCTTGAACTGCTCAGGGGTGAGAGTGATCCCCAGTGCCTGTGCCTGCTCAGGGGTGAGAGTGATCCCCAGTGCCTCTGCCTGCTCAGGGGTCACAGTGATCCCCTGTGCCTGGGTCTGCTGAGGGGTCAGAGTGATCCCTTGTGCCTGGGCCTGCTCAGGGGTGAGAGAGATCCCCAGTGCCTGGGCCTGCTGAGGGGTCAGAGTGATTGCCTGGGCCTGCTCAGGGGTGAGAGTGATCCCCCGTGCCTGTGCCTGCTGAGGGGTCAGAGTGATCCCCAGTGCCTGGGCCTGCTCAGTGGTGAGAGAGATCCCCTGTGCCTGGGCCTGCTGAGGGGTCAGAGTGATCCCCCCTGCCTGTGCCTGCTGAGGGGTCAGAGTGAGCCCCAGTACCTGGGCCTGCTGAGGGGTCAGAGTGATTGCCTGGGCCTGCTCAGGGGTGAGAGTGATCCCCCGTGCCTGTGCCTGCTGAGGGGTCAGAGTGATCCTCTGTGCCTGGGCCTGCTGAGGGGTCAGAGTGATCCCCAGTGCTTGGGCCTGCTGAGGGGTCAGAGTGATTGCCTGGGCCTGGGCCTGGGCCTGCTCAGGGATGAGAGGGATCCCCTGTGCCTGGGTGTGCTCCAGGGTCATAGTGACCCCCTGTGCCTGGGCCTGCTCAGGGGTGAGAGTGACCCCCTGTGCCTGGGCCTGCTGAGGGGTGAGAGTGATCCCCCCTGCCTGTGCCTGCTGAGGGGTCAGAGTGATCCCCAGTGCCTGGGCCTTTTCAGGGGTGAGAGTGATCCCCTGTGCCAGGGTCTGCTCCTCGGTGAAGGTGAACCCCAGTTCATGGGCCTGCTCGGGGGTGAGCGTGATCCCCTGTGACTGAGATTGCTGAGGAATAACAGTGGTCCCCAGTGCCTGGGCCTGCTCATAAGTGAGGGTGATCCCCAATTCCTGGGCCTGCTTGGGGGTGAGAGTGATCCCATGTGCCTGTGCCTGCTTATCAGTGAAGGTGAACCCCAGTTCATGGGTCTGCTCAGGTATGAAAGTGATCCCCAGTGCCTGTTCCTGCTGAGGGGTGAGAGTGATCCCTTGTGCCTTGGCTTGCTGAGGAGTGACAGTGGTCCTGAGTGCCTGGGCCTGCTCAGGAGTGAGAGGGATCCCAAGTGCCTGAGCCTGTTGAGGAGTGACAGTGATCCCCAATGCCTTTTGAAGAGTGTCAGTGATGCTCATTTCCTGGGCCTGCTCAGGGGTAAGACTGATCCCCAGTGCCTGGGCCTGTTCTGGGGCCACAGTGATGCCTGGTTCTTTGGTCTTTTGAGGGGTGATAGTGATCTCCAGTTCTCCAGGCCTCCAGGCCTGTTGAGGAGTTAGAGTGAGGGTCTTTGTGGGAGACTGTCCAGAAATTGGAAAGGCCCCAGGTGATGGCGATTGTGTCGATGGAGAAGGAGTGATTGGTATAGGGTGCTTTCCATCAGCAAAATTTTCTAATGTCTTCAGATGTCCATGGAACACTTTTCTTTGGTGTAACTGGGATGCTACTTTCGGTATGCTCTTCCATTTGGGAGACACCGTCACTGAAGTTTGGCTGAACATCTTTTCTAGTGTGTCAGAACTTTTCTCATTGATCTTCCTCTGATCCTTTGTCTTTTTCTGCTTCTGCCTTCCATGGTCTTCTATGTTTCTCCTTGGCTTCTGCTTCTCTTCTTTCTCCCTATTTATTTCTAGCTTCGGGTGTCTCAGTTCCTTCTGAACTGGCCTCATCTGCTCCTCCTCCTCCTCCTCCAGGGGTACCAATTGTTCTTCCATTTCTTGATTCCATGCCTCCAGCTGCTGCTGTTTTGGCTTCTGATATCCTTTCTCTTTTCTTTGCATTTGCTCGTCATCTTGCTCAGTCTGTTTTTGTTGTTCCTTCCATGCTTCCTCTTCCTGCCACCATTTCTGCTTCTGTTGCCTCTGCTTTCTCTCCTTCATTTGGAGCCATGACTCTTCCTTCTCCAATTTTTTACTTATCAGCTCATGGCTCTTCTTCCAGAAACTCCCTTCCTCTTGCAAATGGTGTTTGAGACCCTCACCAAATACTTTTTCTTGACCTTCTTGCAAATATTCATCCCACCTCTGTTTTTCCTTTTCCTTGTGGTCTCTCCCTACTGTTGAGGCTACTGGAGCATCTCTTTCACCTTCTATTTCAGTCAAGATCATTTGTATTAAATTGTCAATTAATGGGTCCATGCTCTTAGATGAGAGTAAGGTGCTAATTTCAGCCTTTGCACTAATTGGCTTCTGAAAATGCAATCCTGGCATAAATGAGACTTCCTTTTTTCGTTTCATAGGTTTCTCTCCAACTTGTCCTGCATTTTTTATGTCTTTGTATTCTCTCAAGATTTTTGCCACAGTTTCAGCCACAGTTTGGAAGTATTCCTCCATTTTTGCCTTTATGATTTCTAATTTTTTGACCTCTGCTGTTTTTAATAATAACTCCTCTTTTGGCACAGCCTTTTTATCCAAAGGCTTTCCTATGTTATCAATTTTCTCATTTAGGAAAGCCATTATAGCTTTTTGAAATTCTTCTAGGTTACTCTCTTCACTTTTGCCATCTGGGCTTTCTAGAACTCTGGTAGATTCTGAAGTCTCTTTTGCTATCCTAGATTGTGATTTAACAAGTTCAGGAGACTTGAATTTCTTGGCTAAGACTATGATATCCTCAGTTTTTCCCTCTTTGCTTGTGGTGGTTCTTGGAGAGATCTGACGTTTCTTCCCTTTTGTTTTCATTTTCTCAGAGGAATAACCAAGTTCAGTCAATTTGAATTGCTCTGCTTGGCTACTCATCTCACTTTTGCTCTCTTTGTCCATTGACTCAGTGGTGGGTTCTTCTTTATTCTCTGAAGAAATCTGGCTTTTGTCATGTGAATATTCAGGTTTGACCTTCCTGAGTCTTTCCCACATACTACCTGTTCCACTTTTGCCACTTTGTCTTTTTGTGTCAGTAGAAAGGTAATCAGTAGGGACATAGCGACTTTTTGATTCTGCGAATGACTTTGGTTTGGCTTCAGAAAACAATTTCATTTCTTTTCTATTCTTTTCCAGTGCCTGTAGCTCCAAGTCATGATCAAGTTCGGTCTCTTTCTGTTTACCTTTATCATCACTCAGATGTGATCCAGAGGTCTCATCCATAGATGAGCCTTTAATTTGCTTTTTCTTCCGTGATTGATACTGGTCATCATCTTTCTTCAGTGACACCTTATCTTCAGTGATACCTTCAGAAGACTCTTTTTGTTTTTTTTCAGGTAAAGGGTATTGCTGTTCAATTAAATCTGGGGTCATTTCAGCTGGGGCTGTATATGAAAATGCTGAGTCCCACTGGATCCCCGAGGCTTTGGTCTCTTGTGTTTGGGCCTCGTCTATAATGTTTTCAAATTCTTTAGTCAAAATATTTTCCATACTGTCTTCTATGTCAGTTTTGCTAATGGCAATGGATGATTGTGGAGAAAGCTCAGGCAACGCTTTCAAGGTTGATGTGGGTAATGCTGTAGGTAGTTGTTGCTCTACAATACCTTTGGACCAAATAAATTGTTCATATTTTTCTTCTGCATCTTGAAGTTTCTGCTGAAGTATTTCATTTTGTTCACTGAGATCTCGTATTATTTTCAGAGAGAGCTCTTTTTCTTTTTCACTTGTCTCATTTATATACATATTAGCGCTTTGGAGGGTAAAAACTTTTACTTCATCATTTAGTGTATTCAAAGCTTTAGAAAGGTTTACTATTGTTGATGATATATATTTAATAGCATTGTTTTCCAATTTATTGAACATTGCAGTGTTTATGAGTTCCTGTAGCATATCTTGGATTTCTGAAACCTTTGTATTTGTTGCAAATTCATCACTAATCATCTGATCTGGTCTTAAAGCATGAGCTGTTGCAGGTCGCTTTATAACCCTTTCTTTCCAAGATTTCCATAGAGTACCTCTAGATGCTGGAGGAAAAAAACCACAAAACATAAAATAATGAGATTGCATTTCTTCTTCTGTGTGGTGCTCTATCTATGCTAAAGCCTAGGACTTTAGCCTAAATTATGGATAGGTATAGGATAAAGATTCATCAGAAAGTTTTGGCTCCAATGGGGTACCTGACTGGCTCAGTCTATAGAGCATATGACTCTTGATCTCAAGGTTGTGAGTTTGAGCCCCACGTTGGGTGTAGAGATTACTTAAGAAGAAAAAGAAAAAAAAAAGATTTTATTTTTATTTTATTTATTTATTTATTTTTTGAGAGAGAGAGAGAATATCTTAAGCAGGCTCCACACTCAGCATGGAGCCCAATGCAAGGCTCAGTGTCACAACTGTGAGATCATGACCTGAGCTGAAATCAAGGGTCAGATGCTCAACTGACTAAGCCACATGGGTGCCCCTAAAAATAAAATCTTAAAAAAAAAACAACAAAAAAACCTTTACCTCCAAAGTAAATAGTATTATTTTTTCCCACAATTACCTAGAATTTTGCTTCCAAAATTTAGTCTTTAGTCTTTAGTTATGATCTCAGCTTACCTTCAGTTGTAAGTTTGGGATTAGATATAACATAAGCCAAAACTTTCCTTTGGCTTTGATTATGCTTGATGCTTTCCATTTTCTTTCTTAGGTTCCTGTCCTTCTTTTCTCACTTTTCTGAATCACAGTTAGTCTTGGTTCTTTCAGAAGAGTCACAAAAGAGCAGAAAAAAGTCAAACATTTGAAGGGATTTCCAGAATGGCTGAATGAGAAACTCGGCAAAAATTTTTCCCATAAAAGCAATGATAAAATTTGACAAAACTGCCCAAGCCAATGATTTTAGGACTTTGGAAATTGACTGCAAGCATACAACAAAATGGTAAGCATTTTTTTCAAGAAAAATTACTAAACTTCAGTAAGAACTGGAAGTCTGTGATGTTTTAGCCTGGAGCTTCTTCTGTTTCCAACTCCCCCAAGCCATGTTACCTGGTAGTTCTACAAGAGTGAGTCAAGCCTTGAAGCTCTACTGCCTGAGGGGGCTGATTTGATCTGGAATAAAGCAGGGAAAAAACACATGCCTAGGGACGTTGTCTAAAACAATACTTCCTTAACTCACACACAGATCCATTAGCAAAGAATAGAAGCCTTACTGGATCAGTCGGGATCACTTAATGATTGGCCAGTTATTGACCACTAAGTTATGCTGACCCAAAGATGACCCCTAGGAATTCAAGCTTTAAAATATAAACAAAAATGAGGGAAAAAAAAGAACTGAGCAAAGATGTCAGTAGCCACACACTGTTGGGGAGACAGACTTTACTGCATTAATCCAGACAAATCACTAAAAAGCAAAGGAAAAAAGGAGCAAAAAGAAACCCTGGAGGTTATAGGGGAAGTCAGACTCTAAAGTTGCTATAATATGTCATCTAAAATGTCCAGTTTTGGGGGTGCCTGGATGGTTCAGTCGGTTAAGAGTCCAAGTCTTGATTTCAGCTCAGGTCATGATCTCATGGTTCATGAGTTCAAGTCCTGCATCTGGCTCTGTGCTGACAGCACAGACCCTGCTTGGGATGCTCTCTCCCCCCACCCTTCTCGTTGCCCCTCCCCAACTTGCTCTCTTTCTGTCTCAAAAATAAATAGATAAACATTAAAAACACTTAAAAAAAATAAAATTTTTAAAAAATATTGAGGAAATAATAATGGCCAAATCATCCCAAATTTGATGAAAAACATTAATCTACACATTCAAGAAGATCATTGAGCTCTAAGATAAATACAAAAAGATCCATACCTAGATACATCATAGTCAATTGTTGAAAGCCAGACAAAGAATCTTTAATGTAAAAAGATAAAAATGACTTACCACAATCAAAGGAGACTAAAAAATCAAAGCATAGGGGAGCCATAGTAAATTTAACAGCTTACCACTGATTAGAAACAAGAGGCCCAAACACAGTGGGATGACTATTCAAAGTGGTGAAAGAATAATACTGCTAACCAAGAATTCTATATCCAGGAAAACTATCCTTCAAAAAATGAAGGTAAAACATCCATTCCCTGAAATAACACTCTTCCCAAAGTACCATGCACATGCAACTCTCATAACCATCCTCATTATAAGTGTCTTTAAAGACTTCTCTAAATGGATTACAGAATTTCTATTACATCCATTCCTTGAAATAACACTCTTCTCAAAGTAGTATGCACATACAGCTCTTGTAAGCATCCTTATTGCATGTGTTTTTAAACAGTTCTCTAAATATATTACATTATTCACTGAAATAACACTCCTGTAAATGTGGCTTGCAGTGAACACTCATATATCCATGTGTTTTCAACACTTCTGTAAATGTATTACAGAATTTCTATCAGATCCATTCCATGAAATAACTATTTTCAAAGTAATCAGAGGATGTAACCTGTTATTTTTCTTTTTAATGAAGGCAAGAAATAAGACATACAGATGGCAACTAAGGATATGAAAAGATGTTCAGTGTCATCTGTCATTAGAGAATTGGAAACTGTTGTAGCCACTCTGGAAAGCACTATGGAGATTCCTTAGAAAGTTAAAAATAGAACTACCTTACAACCCAGCAATTGCACTACTAGATATTTACCCAAAGGATACAAAAATACTGATTCAAAGGGACACGTGCACCCCAATATTTATAGCAACATTATCAGTAGTAACTAAATTATGGAAAGAGCCCAATTGTCCATTGACTGATGAGTGGATAAAGAAGATGTGCGATATATATACAATAGAATATTACTCAGCCAAAAAAAAAGAATGAAATTTTGTCATTTGCAACAATATTGATGGAGCTAGAGTGTATTATGCTAAGTGAAATAAGTCAGAGAAAGACAAGTACCATATGATTTCATTCATGTGGAATTTAAGAAACAAAACAGAAGAACATAGGAGAAAGAGAAAACCAAAAAAAAAAAAAAAAAAAAAAGAGGAAGACAAACCATAAGAGACTATTAACTATAGAGAACAAACTGAGGGGAGGGGCACTGTGTAAGGAATAGTTTAAATAGGTGATGGGTATTAAGGAGGGCACTTGTGATAAGCACTGGGTGTTATATGTAAGAGATGAATCACTAAATTCTACTTCTGAAACCAATTTATATTACATGTTAACTAACTAGAATTTAAGTAAAAACTTGAAAAAAAAAGAATTGCAAATTACAACAATGAAATATGTTACACATTTCTGAAAATGGCTAAATCCAAAAAACCAATAATGCCAATTGCTAACAAGTACAGGGAGTGACAAGAACTCCTGTTGAAAAATGGTGGGAATGAGAAATGGTACATCTACTTGGAAAGACAGTTTGGCAGTTTCTTACAAAGTTACTTACAAAGTAATGTAATCTTATCAAATGATCTAGCCATCATGCTCCTAGGTTTTTACATAATTAATTCGAAAACTTATGTCCATGAGAAAGAGTGTGTGTGTGTGTGTGTGTGTGTGTGTGTGTGTGTATGGCAGTTTTATTCTTAGTCACCAAAACCTGGAAGCAACCACATAAACAAGCTGTGGTGCATCTGTACAATGGAATATTATTCAGCAGTAAAAAGAAATAAGCTATTAGGCCATAAAAAGATAGGGAGGAACCTTAAATGTATATTGCTAAGTGACAGAAGCCAGTCTGAAAAAGCTACATACTACATGATTCCAATTATATGACATCCTTGGAAAACCAAAACTATGGAGACATAGGGGCACCTGGGTGGCTCAGTCAGTTAAGGGTCCGACTTCGGCTCAGGTCATGATCTCACAGCCCGTGAGTTTGAGCCCGGCATCAAGCTCTGTGCTGACAGCTCAGAGCCTGGAGCCTGTTTCACATTCTGTGTCTCCCTCTCTCTCTGACCCTCCCTTGTTCATGCTCTGTCTCTCTCTGTCACAGAAGTAAGTAAACGTTAAAAAAAAAAAAAAAAAAAAAACTATGGAGACATAAAAAATTATCAGTACCAGAGACTTGGGGAAAAAGGGGAAGAATACATAAGTGAATCACAGGGCATTTTTAGGGTGGAAAAACTATTCTGTATGATACTATAAGGGCGGATACATGACAATATACATTTGTCAAACCCAGTAGAACTCTATAGCACAAAGAGTGAAACTTAATGTATACAAAATTTTTAAATACCCTTTTAAGAGGTCAGGGGATCCCAGGAAAGAATGTAGACTGTGATATGACAATCTAACAATATAAGAAATGTATGACACAACCTCACTGAAAGGAATGAGAGGATGCAGGGAGTGCTGACCTATAAGTAACCGGAAATGAATGGAGTCTGTAAGACTGAAGACAAAGTGCTGTACTCTAGTTGATAAGTTATTTCCCACTAGGGTATGGGTTAATAATTCTGATACTGCTATGCATGTATACTGGAATCGAGCAATTAAGTGAAGTAGATGGTAGGAGCAAGTTTCTTATTGTTTGTCATAATTTATAGATAAGCAAGGGGAAGAAACTGGAATGGTCTATGTGTGATAATGAATTAAAATTAGAGAAATCACTATAAACTTATGTTTAGTTTAAAGTAGTTACAGATGATAATATATATACATATTAATAGATATGTGTAACTGCATTGGCTCTACACACACACACACACACACACACACACATATATATATATTTTGTTGTTGTTGTTGTTGTTGTTCTGTCGAATGAGAGGACTGAACAGAAATGACAGCCCAGTAGCAATGAACACACCTAGCAACCAGACCTTGCTTTTTAATACTATTCTCTACTAAAAGTAACCAGAAATCCTTGAAGAAATGACAGATTATAAGACTGGAGCAGGGTATATTCGAGATGAACCTGAAGCATCTTGTAGTGCCAGAAAGTAGGGAAGGGCTAAAAAAATAAAAAAGAAAGGGGCACCTGGGTTGCTCAGTTGGTTGAGCGTCTGACTTCGGCTCAGGTCATCTCACAGCTTGTGAGTTCAAGCCCTGCGTCTGGCTCTGTGCTAACAGCTAAGAGCCTGGAACCTGCTTTGGATTCTGTTTCTGTCTCTCTCTCTCTCTCTCTGCACTTCCCTGTTCGTGCACTGTCTTTCTCTTTCTCTCAAATATAAATAAACATTAAAAAAAATATTTAATAATAATAAAAAGAAAGAAAGAAAAAAGAAAAAGCCACATCGATGAGGTTATGTTAAAGGGGCACAGGAACCAACTGAAAGAGGTCCCAACGGCCAAAACTAGAACAACTTAAGCAAGTAAATAAAGTAGTATTGGATTATAACTCAAAGTCCAAAAAAAATCTGAGTTCATTTTGAGATAAATAATTGAATAAATAAATAAATGAGGAAGAAGAGACAAATTATAGTACATAAGAACTTCAAATAATTTATGTAGATATTCATCCTAAAAGAAAGGGAGCACAACTCCCTTTTCCTTAAGTATGGGCTGCACATATAGACTTATTTTAAAAAGCAAAGTATGGAAAATGAGGAAAAAGAGTAACTTTACAGTGGAGAAACCTGACAAGCACTACTTTAGCCACGTGGTCAAGGTCAACATTGAGTCATTTGATAGTACATACCCTTGAAATTGTATGATGACAATGGTACTTTACCTCTGTGATCTTTCTCCTCAAAATCCATAACCCCAGAGTAAATGTGAGAAAAACACCAGACAAATTCCCATAGGGGAGCATCTTATAATATATCTGACTGGTGCTCCTCACATGTGTCAGGAACATCAAACAGAAGGAAAAGTCTGTGAAATTGTCACAGCCAAGAAAGCCTAAGAAGACATGACAATTAAATGTAATTTGGTACCCTGGATGGAATCCTGAAACAAAAAAGGACATTAGGTAAAAACAAGGAATTATGACTACAGTCCATAAATTATGGACTTTAGTTAATAATGTGTCAATACTGGTTTGTTAATTATAACAAATGTATCATACTAATGTAATATATTAGTAATAGGGGAAACTATGGAGAAATATGGAATTCTCTGTACTATTTTCTCACTTTTTTTTATAAATCTAAAACTACCTTAAAAAAATAAAGTCTATTAAAAAATGAAAGTGAAATAAAGACATTCTAGATCAGCAAAACGGAAAGAATTTGCTGCTAGTAGACCAGCCTTATAAGAAAGACAAAGAAGTCCTTCAGGTTGAAAGGAAATGATACCAGAGGATAACTCAAAATCACACAAAGAAATAAAGAGCACAAGTATATGTAGGTAAAAATATGCTTTCCTTTCCTCTCTTAACTGATTAAAAAGACAATCATATAAAACAATAATTATGAACTATGTTGTTGGGCTTATGATACATAAAAATGTAATATATATGACAAAATCCAAAGGAGGGGAAGAGAATGGAGCTAATGGAGCAAAAATTCTATATTTTGCTTGTATTAAGTTAGCACTAATCTGAAACAGATTGTGATAATTTTTTTAAGTGTATTTATCTTGAGAAAGAGAGAGAGAGAAAGTGAATGGGGGAGCGACAGAGAGAAAGGGAGAGGGAGAATCCCAAGTAGACTCCACACTGTCAGTGCAGAGCTCAACATGGGGCTCAAACTCACCAATGGTGAGATCATGACCTGAGCCAAAATCAAGAGTCCAATGCTTAACCAGCTGAGCCACACAGGCGCCCCTGGTTGTGATAATTTAAAATGTGTGCTGCAATCCCTAAAGAGCTACTAAGGAATTACTCCAAAAATATAGGGGGAAAATGGAATTAAAATGGTACACTAGAAAATATTTGTTTAACACAAAAAGTAGTAAAAGAAGAACAGGAGAACAAAGAGATGAGACATGGAAAATAAACAGCAACACAACACATATAAATCCAATCATATCAATAATTACATTAAATATGAAAGAATTAAATACTCGAAAGTTAAAGATTGCCCAATTTTATGTGTATTTGTGTATTTTTTTTGTGTGTATATATATTTAAAAGCCAACACGATCCAATGATAAGCAACATATCTTAGATTCAATCTTGCACAGTAACCACAGGGGAGCTGGAGAGAATAGACTAATATCAAACAAAATAGACTTTAAGACAAAAAAAATGGTTCTAGATACAATGAGGGACATTTTATAATGATAAAAAGATCAGTTCATCAGTAAGCTATCACAATATGAACATACATGCACCTAATAACAGAGCCTTAAAATATAGGAAGCAAAACCAGACAGAATTAAAGAGAAATAGCTAACTCAGTAATAGTAGTTGGGAAGTTCAATATCCCACTCTTAATAATAGAACAACTAGACAGAAAATCAGTAAGGATATATACAGAAGACTAAAACAACAATATAAACCAACTGTAGAACACTCCACCCAACAAAAGCAAAATATATCTTTTCAAACACACACAGAACATTCTCCAGGATAGACCATATGGTAGGCTATAAAGCAAGTCACAATAAATGTAAAAGGATTGAAAGAATACAAAGTATGTTCCACAAAATACTTCACATGGGATAGATAGATACATAGATATACAGATAACGATAATTTCCTACTGGTTCTGCTTCTCTGGTTGAACACTAACCAATACAAGCTTTTGTTTTTGTTTTAAGTTATTTATTTATTTATTTATTTATTTTTAGTAATCTCTATACCTAATGAAGGGCCCAAACTCATGACCCTGAGATCAAGAGTCACATGCTCCTCTGCCTGAGCCAGCCAAGCACCGCCCCCCCATACAAGTTTTTAATACGACACTAAAACCATGAACCACAAAAGAAAATATTGACAAATTGATTTGACTTCATCAAAATCAAAAACCATTGGCCTTCAAATGCCCCATTAAGAAAATGAAAAGTCAAACCAAAGATTAAGAGAAAATGTTTGAAAATCATGTTTCTTTCTTTTTTTTTTTTTAATGTTTCTTTATTTTTGAGAGAGACAGAGAGATAGAGTGTGAGTCAGGGAGAGGCAGAGAGAGAGGGAGACACAGAATCTGAAGCAGGCTCCAGGCTCTGAGCTTGAACCCATGAACCACAAGATCATGACACGAGCTGAAGTCAGACACTTAACCAACTGAGCCATTCAGGCGTCCCTGAGAATCACATTTCAAGACTTGTATTCAGAATACATAAAGGACTCTTAAAACTCAATAATAGAAATGGGTAAGCATTTGAATAGTCATTTCAGCACAATAAATATAAGAATGACTAATAAGCACCTGGATAGATGCTCAACATCATCAGTCTTTAGGGAAATACAATTTAAAACCACAATGGAGAAGGGGAGTAGTGCTTGGGTGGCTCAGTTGGTTGAGAGGCAGACTTCAGCTCAGCGCATGATCTCACAGTTTGTGAGTTCTAGCCCTGCATCAGGCTCTCTACTGTCAGTGTGGAGCTTTGGATCCTCTGTCCTCCTCTCTCTCTGCACCTCACCCACTCGTGCTCTCTCTCTCAAAAGTAAATAAACATTAAAAAAATAAATAAAACCACAATGGGATACCACTTCACACCTCTTGGAAAGGCGATCCTAAAGAAGTCCATAAAAAGTGTTGAGGATGTGGAAAAACTGGAACCTTAATACATTGCTGATGGGAACGTAAAATAGTGCTGTCATTTGGGCAATAAGTTAACAATTTCTTTAAAAGATACGCATAAACTTACCAGCAATAGGTAAATGACCCAGAAATTCTACTCCTGGGTATCTACCCAAAAGAAATGAAAACATACATCCACACAAAGACTTATACATCTGGGTTTATAGCAGCATTATTCATAAAAGTCAAATGTCAAAATAATCTGAATGTCCATGAACTGGTGAGTAGGTAAACAAAATGTGGTATATGCAAAAAATGATATACAATTGGTCATAGAAAGGAAGAAACTACTGATACATCCTATAACATGGCTGAACCTCAAAACCATTATTTAAGTAAAAGAAACCACATATAAAAGACTACGTATAATATGATTCCATCTTATGAAATGTCCAAAAAAGGCAAACTTATTGAGACAGAAAATAGATTTGTGTATGTTTGGAACATACACAAATGTTGTGTGTGTGTTTGGAACATACACAAATGTTGTGTGTGTGTGTGTGTGGGTGGGTGGGAGTGAGGATTGACTGCAAAAGGGCATGAGGGATCTTTTTTGGGATGAAGGAAATGTTCTAAAATTGAATTGTGGGGAGGGGGGCAGTGGTGGTGGCTGGCTGGCTCAGTCAGTAGAGCATGAGACTCTTGATCTCTGGGTCATGACTTTAAGCCCCATGCTGGGTATGGAACCTACTTTAAAAAATATAAAATAAAATAAAATAAAATAAAATAAAATAAAATAAAATAAAAT